AATTAAGGTATACAAAAATAAATAATTTACAGGTCGACAGTGAAATAACAGTAGAATTAAGGTATATTAAAAATCAATAATTTACAGGTCGACAGTGAAATAACAGTAGAATTAAGGTATATTAAAAATCAATAATTTACAGGTCGACAGTGAAATAACACTAGAATTAGGGTATATTAAAAATCAATAATTTACACTTCCATGGTAAAATAATAGTAGTATCTTGTTACTCCAATGACAACATAAAGTAAGATACTGCTTTCACAACAGTTAAAACCACAAATATGTGGATGAAAGAAAGTATTTTCTCGATGGGATATTCAAGGTCTATTTTTCAGAGCGATTATAGTGTGTGTGTGTGAGATACAGAGATAAATGTATTACTTTGTTTGTTTGTTACTAGACAGAAAACTATACAATGGGCAATCTGTGTCCACCACAGGTATATACAACTGGTTTTTAGAATTATAAGCCTTCAGGCTTACAAGGTAGCCACTGGAAGGCTTTTTATTACCGAATCAATTACTTATTTTAGAGAAATACCATATTTACTGAAGTTGGACAAACAAACATTAAGAAAAAAAGCAAATACGCTAGTAAACATCATTCCAGCGTGCACAAAGGGAAAGTATTTATGAGAACACAGTCAGAAATGATGTAAGTAACTCTGTACAACCAAGAACTAGACAGGAGACAGAAATCTTAGTGTGAAGTTTCAAACAAAAAATTATTGAAAAATCACATACATGTTCTCTACATTACAAAATAATAATTCGGTATTTTCATGTAACTTGTGACTTTGTATAACAATGTGTGCATTTACTCTTTGTACTTTTACCCACAATATAATGTTCAATATTCAGTCCTAACACACATGGGTCAGTTCAAATAATTCTGTTGATTAAACTGCTAATGTTATATATAAAATACAAAACCTTATTAATGTACTGTTTAAATAAGTAATAAATTCACATAACATTCTTTATGTAATTGGAAATTCTTATTATCATACCTTTTCAAATTTTAAAGACTGCTGTTAAATTCAAAGAAGGGCAATAGACTAAAACAACACGTAGCAATATTTCATCTTACTTTTATTTGTGCCTACTGTAAACAACAACTTTATTCAATCTTTAAACTGTAAGGTATCAATAAATTCCTTCAATAATAAGTCACCTCTGTCGAATGGTCGGGAGGTAGCCATATATACTGTAGTTGCTAAACATGGTAGTACAAATTTTGGTTATTCTGTCAAGCAAGAACATCCAACAGTAAAACGTACCTGAAACCAAACTATAATTTTTCTTGAAAATCTTTTCTTCTGAAGCTTTCTCACAAATAACTATTGCCAAAAGATTATTCAGAAATAATAATAAATAAAGTTTACCTTCCAATTCTTGGAAGTTAGAAATGTCACTGGTTTCATCATATGGTTGATTCATCAGAAAAGTAACCTACAAAATAAAATTCAGTGTAACGTTATTTTTGTAAGTGTTAAGACCATCAGAAACATATTTAGAGAAAGATACACATTTTAAAGCACTATGGTGATGGTTACTTATGAGATTCTTTGAAAAGGTCACTGATTATGTAGATTAAGGTAAAGGTGTAGATTTGGTGTATCAGGATTTTCAGAAAGTATTTGACAAGGTGCCACATAAAAGGCTTGTAAGAACAATTATCTCTAAAGGTGTGGGAGATATGTTAGCTAATTGGATAGAAGAATGGCTGGATGGAAAAAAGAAAAGAGTTGTTATAAATGGATTTCAATCATACTGGATTAATGTCACAAGTGGGGTATCTCAGGGCTAAGTCTTAGGACCTTTGCTCTTTTTGATTTACATCAATGACATAGATAAATGGGTCAATAAATTATGTAAATTTGCCGATGATATTAAGGTCTTGCTAGCTGTGAAAAGGATCTTTTTGATTTACATCAATGACATAGATAAATGGGTCAATAAATTATGTAAATTTGCCGATGATATTAAGGTCTTGCTAGCTGTGAAAAGGCTCTTTTTGATTTACATCAATGACATAGATAAATGGGTCAATAAATTATGTAAATTTGCCGATGATATTAAGGTCTTGCTAGCTGTGAAAAGGATGCTGCTGATTTACATCAATGACATAGATAAAGGTGGGCCAATAAATTACGTAAAGTTGCAGATGATATTAAGGTCTTGGGTGTTGCTAGCTGTGAAAAGGATGCTGCTGATTTACATCAATGACATAGATAAAGGTGGGCCAATAAATTACGTAAATTTGCAGATGATATTAAGGTCTTGGGTGTTGCTAGCTGTGAAAAGGATGCTGCTGATTTACAAAAGGATTTAGATCATTTAGGAAGTTGGGCAAATAAATGGCAGATGGCTTTTAATTATAAAAAATGTAAAATAATGAATGTGGGTTATCATAATTTGAATTTTAAGTGTAATTTTGATGGGAATAACCTTAAAAGGATCTTGGAGTAATGGTTAATCAGTCTTTTAATTCATCCAAGCAGTGTGCTAGAGTATTATTTCTTAGTACTCGTGTATAATGTTAAAATAATAAATAACACACAACATTATAATAGGTACACAAAAACATTTTAAGGTCAATATAAAACCACTAAAAAGTTCACTCTACATGTTTTAACTTTGCAACATCATCTTCAGGAGATGTTGTTAGTGCTAGGGAAGTAAGATTTTAAGTTGTACCTACAGAAATATTGAATACAAGTCTAAAAAGGTTATAATTTCATTGTATAGGTCACTAGAGGCCACATTTGGAGTATTCTGTTCAGTCTTGGGCTCCTTACCTTAGGAAGGACATTGAATTGTTGAAAAGAGTTCAGAGGGTTACTATAATGATGTCTGGGATAGAGGGGTTGTCATATGAGAAAAGATTAAGATCTCTAAAATTTTCTTTTGAAAAAAGAAGAGTTAGAGAGGATCTGATTGAGTGCTTAGCTGAAGATGACTCCTACCTTGCCAAAATGTATATTTGTGTCCCCTAGTCTTACTGTTCTCACCGTTATGTATAAAAAAAAGATGATGTATTAACATTATCAATTCCTTTTGCAATTTTAAAACAGGTTCGTTAGCCTCTGGAATGGGTTGCCTTCGGATGTTGTGGAGGCAGTAAATTTAAGCGAGCTTAAGAGAATGTTTGATAAGTATATGAATGGTAAGGGCTGGCTTTAAGATTTTTTAAAAATATAGTTATCTACTAGTATTAGTTTAGTTTGGAGGATGGAACAGCCGAGATGGACCAACAGGTCCTTTGTTGTCCTTAAACATTATGTTAACTTAAAGAAAACCTCACTATATTATTATTTACTTTTTGAATGCCTCACAGCTGTTATTTCTTACATATTTAAAACAGTAATTTCTCCATGGTAATGATAAGCAATTTCAAAAAAGCAATTCTTTCATCCCCCATATCTGAACTTGATGTAACAACAATATTAACACCTTCTTTTTTAACGTTTGAATACAGAAAACACCATGACGTGTTTACTAAAAATGTAACTTATGCTTTAACTTGTTCTGTTTTTCAAATTCCATAATTAAATCCAGAGCCCTTCAACGGCAAAACGAAGTTGGAAATCCCACATTTTACAAGTTTGTAAACTAAAACTCACGACACGACTTATTAACGTTTGCTATGTTTTAAAATCTGATTTAAACTTATTTTATATATAACGTGGATGTAACACTAAACTGGTAAACAGTAAAGTAATCCATTATGCAGTCAATTTTCGTTCAAAATCGATCAGAAATCGCGAAAGTTAGTTAGTTGAGCTAAATAGTGCATATGCCTAAAGTATCACGAAATTAGTTAGACAAGTTAAACTTTAACTTTAAAAAGCTTAACTTAAACTAAATTCTAAAAATCTTAGCCTAAGCACTCTAAAGCCTAAAACAAGTAAAAGTAACAAGTCTAAGCTTACTGAATTGAAGGGTACAATTTATTTAATAAATTAACTGTTAAAGGGATTTAAAATAAACAGAATTCGTAAATTTAAGGTGAAGTGATTACTTAATTCGCTTTACTTTTTCAATTTGGTATATAATATTTTGGTTTCGTTGAATCTCAGAACCTGGCAGTTGCAATGTTATTATCTTCTCCTATTACTCGCGATTTTGTGAG